AGATCTTTGGAAACCAGAGAGTGACAGCATCTATGTGAACGTTGTTCCAGTAGAGCAGCTGGTGGGTATTTGGACTGACAACGCTGTGGTTAGCACCCCAGTGCTTCTCCCACAGTGCCACCAGAGTTCCTTACAGAATCAATTTAAACAGGATAGTAATTGCACACTAAAACTATAAAACATTTCTGAAAAAAAGACCTAAGCAAATAGACAACTTGTGCTCATGCACTGGAATTTTAGCATGTTAAAATGTCAACACTACCCAAAGTGAGCTACAGAGTCAAAGCACTCCCTATAAAATGCCCAACAGCCTTCTTTTCATAAAGAGATAAGCCAATCATCAACTTGATATGGGATTGCAGGGGGTCCTGTATAGCTAAAGAGATCTTGAAAAAGAGAACTGGAAGAACTCATACCTTCAAATTTCAAGACAAAATATAAAGTGAAAATTATCAAAGTAGCCTTGTGCTGGTATAATAAGAGACACATAGGCGAATAGAATAGAATAAAAAGTCCAGAAAAAAAACCCCAAACAAACCCATCTACCTATGGCTAGCTGATTTTTGACAATGTTGCTAAATCCACTCAATGAGGAATGAATAGTCTCTCCAATTAATGGTGCTGGGTTAACTAGATCTACACATAAAATGGAGTTAATGAGATATATCATGAGTTATGGTGTTGGAGAAAAATACTGAAAGTTCCATGGGCTGCCGAAAGAACCAATAGATCCGTTTTGGAAGAAGTGCAGCCAGAGTGCTCCTTAGAACCAAAGATGGCCGAACTTCGTCTCTCATACTTCGGACATATTGTCAGGAGGGACCAGTCTCTGGAGAAGGATATCATGTCTGGTGAGGTGGAGGTTCAGAGAAAAAGAGGAAGACCCCCAACGAAATGGATTGGCCAAGTGGCAGCATCAATGGGCTCAAGCATGGCAACAGTAGTGCGGTTGCCCCAGGATCGGGCAGAGTTTCGTTCTGCTGTGCATAAGGTCACTATCAGTTACTAACTTGATGGCACCTAACAACAACAACAACAACATCATATATTAAACTTAACTCAGTGGACCGAAGACCTAAATGTAAGAACTAAAACAATAAAAGTTTTAGACCAAAGCATAGGAGCAATGCTTTGGACCTTAATTTTCAACCGTGAGTTCTTAGCTATGGCATCAAAAGCAAAAGGAGCAAAAAGCAAACTAGATAGTAGATTTTATCAAAATTAAAAACTTTTATCCATCCAAAGGCTTTAATAACAAGGTGAAGAGACAACCTACAGGATGGTGGGAGATATTAGTAGTCATGTAAGGATTTAGGAGCCTTGGTGTGACACTATATGATAAGTACTGGATTGCTAACCACAAGGTTGGCAGTTCAAACCCACCAGCTGCTCCCTTGGAAGCCTAATACAAAGTGGCTACGAGTTGGCACTGACTTGATGATATTTAAGAACAACAACATAAAGGTTTAATATTCAGAATACATGATGAACTCCTATAAATCAAAACCAAAAAGATAATCCAGTTTTAAAAATGGGCCAAGAGCTTGAATAGATATTTCTCCAAAGAATATAAAGAAATGGCAAATTAGTAGATGAAAAAATGCTCAATGTCATTAGTGGTTAGGAAAAGGAAAATCAGAACCACAGTGAGATACCATTTCATTTCCAATACCCAAAATCCAAACCCAACCCACTGCCATGGAGTTAACTGTACTCATAGCAATTCCATAGAACAAAGTAGAACTGATCGTTAGGGTTTCTGAGACTGTAAAACTTGGGAGCAGACAGCCTCATCTTTCTTTCAAGGAGCGGGTTTAAACACTGGCCTTACAGTTAGCAGCCTAGTACTTAACCCACACTGTCACTAGGGCTCTTTGTATCTCCAAAAGGAAGATTATTATCAGAAAAATGGACAACAAGGAGGTGGTGACATTGAAAATCTCTTCCATTGTTGGTGGGATTGTAAAATGGTGCAGCTGTGGAGAATAATATGGCAGTCACTAAAAATGTTAAACACAGAACTACCATATGACCCAAAAGAACTGGAAGCAGGGATTTAAACAGATCCTGTACACCAATATTCATTGCTACAGTATTCATATAACCAAAAGGTGGAAACAACCCAAGTGTCCATCAGCAGGTGAATGGATGTGCAAGGAATGGAATAGTGTTCATTTATAAAGAAAAAGGAAGTTCTAATACTTGCTGTAACATGGATCAAAATTGAAAACATGTTGAGCGAAATGAATCAGATACAAATATTGCATGATCTCACTTATATAAAGTATCCCGAATAGGCAAATACATACAGGTCAAAGTTTATTAGTGCTTACTAGGGGTTGAGGGAGTCCTGGTGTGGAGCAGTGGGTAAAAGCGCTGAACTGAAAAGTCAGTTTGAACCTCCAGCTGCTCCTCAGAAACCCTAAACAGGGTTGGAACCAACTTGATGGCATTTAACAACAACAACAACAAGGGGTTGAGGGAAAGGAGAGGTTATGGCTTAAGGGTTATTTAGTGAGTTTCTGTTAAAGGTGATGAAAAAAATTGCAAATGGTTAGTGGATAGTTGTACAATATGGGAAATGTAGTTAATATCACTGAATTGTACATGCGAAAATGGCAAATGTTTGATTATATATATTTCACCACAATAAACAAAAACAAACCAGAAGAGCACCTCAGCACAGGAAGGTGGGGACCCCTGCAGTAGAAAAAAAAAAAGATTTCTGGGGAGATGAGGGAGGGAATAAAGAACTCCTTTAGAAGCAACCCTCTGGCAATGGTGAGTAGGAAGCTTAGAAGGAGATTGAGTTAAATATGAGGGCAGGTGATTTGCATGTTTTTGTAGCATCAGATAATGAAAGAAAATGAGTCAAAAGTATTTACCCATATGGCCAGACAGTTTATTTCATGCTCATTTAATAATACCATGCTGTTTATATACTTGATGGGTCCATCGCATGGCTGCCTATGCCTTCACAAACAGAGCTTGTTGTTTGGCTCACTCTGGTAATTTATGGAAGGTCTGTTTGTTGCGGTTGGAAAGAAAAGATGCCAAAGGCAGCTGGTTGCTCTGATGAAGGGGAGTCCCAGGTAAGCATTACCTGGATGTGGACCAGTTTTGCAGGTCCAGAAACCCAGTTTAACAGTGGTTCAAGGGAGTTGATTGGTCCATACTAACTACACTATGGAGAGTGGCATATATCTCCACCCTTCAAACTTGAAAGTGCATAGGGATCCGATTCTGATGTAGTATGGCTTGGGTAAGGGCCTAAGTTTCTGCATTTCTAACCAGCTTCCAACCACACTTTGAGTAGCAAGAATGTAAATCAAAGGCCATTTAAAAAAACACTTTTGACACCCATCACCTCCTGTCTCCGAATAACCAAAGGACTGCTTTCAGAGCATGGTGGTCCTCCACGAAGGGCCATGACTTCCGTGCTTACTGGGTTTATGGGGATCATATGCCATTGTGGTCAGCCCTTATATCAGCCTGGACATCTCTGCAGCTTAGGTTACACCTTAGTTTAGTTAAGTTCCCAACCTGATGATTGATCTGTTACCTTGACGATATATGTATTATTTATGTATTGCATTGCTTTGCTTTGCATTGTATTGTAATGTATTGATTTCACTGCATGCATGGATTATCTGCACCCCAAACTGGGCTTTTAACTGGTTCAGGCATGGCCAATGAAGCAACACTCAAATGGACCCAAATTTGTAAAATCTGTAATTTGTAAACAAGAACAATAACTGGAAAAAGGAAAAATTACAGGTAGACACCATGCTAACTTAATGTCCCTCTTAGAAATAACTGTAGCATGTACATTGCATAACAACCAAATCTCTTGACAGACAAATCAGATACAACAGGTCCTGGCTCAAAGATGGTGGCCAACTGCATCACTTTGTGTAAATAATCCAATCTCCAAGCCAATGCTTTGACTCGTCATTTTTCCTGTTCAGACTATTGTTTGGCTTTGCTCAAAATTTTAAATTTGGTGTCTGTAGTAGTTTTGCTTCCCCAGCCATGACTGAACCAGTTAGAAACCCCAGTCTCAGATCTTTTCCAATTATTCATTTGGAAATCATCTTCCAAGATGCGCTTCTTTCTCAGGTAGTTAACCTAGTTCTCTTTGGGTTGATAATTCTCTTGGCGTGACTCTCCAAGAGCTAAGGTGTATTTGCCACAATATTTACATGATAAATAAGAGGAATCACATTTAAATAATCTCACCTGGAAATCAGAGAGGTAGGGTAGTAAGAGACCTGAGGACTGCCCCTTGAGCAGGTTTGTCAGTGAATATTGGCCTCTTGGAGTGGGTGGTCCCAGTAAAGTCAGGCCCCCCCACACCCTGAGTTGCATCCCAGATGTTCATTCAGTGAAAATGAGCTGCAGACTTGAGCTACCCACTGAAGCTGGATGTTTAGAACAGGCATCTAGCTTGATTGGGGCCAGTCCTGTTTGAGTAGCTAGAGGGCGCCACTGAGACCCAGTCATGAGTTAGCTTTGTTGTTGATGAGGCTGGGATGTCTCTAGTGTTCCATCTAGATTTTCTATCATTATGCTTCCTATTAATACCCTGATTCATAAAAAATAAAAATCACAAAATATAATTGTCTATAAAAATCACAAGAATACAATAGCCTTAAATTAAAAAAAAAAAAGTTTCTCCAGAGAAACTGAGAGAGCTTCTCAGATTCTCTAGTTCATCCCTCCAAGAAAGGAGGCAGAGAGAAGGTACACAAGGGTGGGCCATGGGAGCCTTGCACTCCAGCTCTGAGTGTATGTTTCTGGGTACAAGCCTCTTTCTCAGGCTGGGATTGAACTTGTCACATCATATGTATATGTGGAAGCCTGTGGCTGTCTCAAATGGGTATAAAAGCCTGACACATTGTTTTTTCCTTTCTCTCTGTGTGTGTCTCACTCAACAGTTAACTTTAAATTTTGATAGCCCAGGCCAGCCTGTGTGCAAGACAGTGGGTTGCTGGCTGCTCAGCCTTGATAGATTCTGCACCTCTGGCAATAGAAAGAGACTCAGTATCGGCGACGCTCCTCTGGGTTTAGGAGGGACACTGGCTCTTTAGGTGCTTTTTCTTCTCCACTGCCAGTCGCAAGGCCTGAAGGAGTTTGTCTTTGTTATTCAGGATGTTGTACTCAGAGAGCTTCACCAGTTTGTCAAAGGCGGCTTCTGTGTATGTCAACTCCTTGGTGGCGTAGGGCGTTTTGGGGCCATAAATGTCAACCTGGCCATGTTCCAGCTCTTCAGGGCTTCGCTCCACACCTGTGAGGTGGCAGAGGGAATCACTACAGATCATGAATTCTTTAGGTTATGATGACCCGTGTCTCTTCCAGGGGTCTACCCTGCGCACACAGACATGCACATCTGCATGCAAACATGTACACACATAGACACACACACATGCACATATACCCCTCTAAGTTCCTCAGGGCAGGGACACCTCTTATCCCTGTTAGGATTACCCTAGCTCCAAACACAGTGCCTGGCACATAACTGGGTGCTAATAAATGTTGACTGAATAAAAGGATAGGGTGTGATTTGCCACCACGTGAGGGCAGTCTTGCATGCCAAAGTTAAGACTGGATAGGACTGGAGCTGAGGCAGCTATTAAAGATTAGGTGGCCTATCTGACAGCTTCAGGCTACTGGGAGACTTCTAAAGTCTAAAGGTAGGCACTCTCATGCCAAGGCCAGACAGTGCTGGGAATACAGGGTGCAGGCGGCTTACCTGGGGCCTTGTAGTTTTGGAAGGTGTCATTAATGAGTGGGAAGAAAATCACTGTGGGGGCATCAGGTTCCTGGGGGTTCTCCATCAGGTAGCATTCTTTGAGATTATTCTCTTCGTCTTCCAGCTCATATTTAGGGAAGGGTATGTTCTGCACGGTGCAGTATTCACAGGTTTGTTTCATGGGCTAGAATATCACAGGAGGACATGTTTGGGTGTGAGGGTGAGAAGGCAAGAGACAATTTGTAGATGTAGCTTTTCCAGCTAACAGCTCAACTCCCCAACCATTTTGCCCATTGCTGCTGCTGTGTGTTATTGAGTCAGTTCCTACACATAGTGAACCTAGGCTGTAAGTTTTTATGGGAGCAGAAAGCTTCATCTTCCACGGAGTGGATTTGAACTTCTGATCTCGCGGTTAACAGCCTAACATGCAACCCACAACACTAGCAGGGTTCCGTATTTTGTCTATTAGTAATGTCTTTAGAATAAAGCTGGGTCAGGACAAAGAGTCTAAGACAGCAGGTTGCTGCAGGTCTTCCTGTAAGCTCCTTCCCCAAATGAAACAGACACAAGTCCTTTCCCTGATGTTTCACCTAACCACAGACTCATTAGTTGTGTACAGCAGACTGGGAGCTGGGCCATGTACAGCCATGGCTGGCCACCCCTGTGAGACCTTGGATTGACCTTGAAATCAGCTTAAAATGTCACAGGGCTGGTAAGGTCCTCGAATGTTGGAAGTCTTTTAGTTCTGCCCTGGTTCCACTGCTCACTAGCTGTGTTACCTTCTGTAAGCCACTTACCCTCTCTGTGCCAGTTTCATCTATATAACATAGCATCCTACTGGTTGGTTCTATTTATCTCAAAGAGCTGGTGTACAGATTCAATGAGATGTGGTATGGAAAATTGTACTGGGTCACTATCACTTACAAATAATAGTCGTTGTCCTTGCCATCTGTCTATGCTCCCCCTTTCCTGGGCTTCAGGATAGAATTATTTTAAACTGAACAGAAAAAAAAAAAAAAAAAAAAAAGGCTTTTCCTTAAAAAGGACAGGAACTTTCCAGAAGTAAATGAAAATAAATAAAAAACTTTGGTGCTGGTTCATTAGTTGTAATTACATTGAGGATGGTATACCCTGGCTATGTATGTGCATGTGCATGTGATTATTTTAAAAAAAGGACATTACAAGCTCTTGAAGGTGTTGTTGTTTTATGTCATTGTGTCATTTCAACTTATTGTGACCCTGCATATCTGCCAGCCACTCCATGGAAGAAAGATGAGACTTTCTGCTCCCACTAAGATTTAAAGCCTCAGAAATCCTACAGAGGGTCACTATGAGTCAGAACTGACTTATGGCACTAAACAATAGGGTTTCCAAGGAGAAGCTGGTGGGTTTGAACTGCCGACTTTAAGACTAGCAGCTCATTTGACTGGACTCTATCAAGATTAAGGAGCCCTGGTAGCATCATGGGTACGAGCTGGGCTGCTAGCCACAAGGTCAGCAGTTCGAATCTATTGGTTGCTCCATAGGAGAAAGACAAGGCTTTCTGCTTTTGTAAAGATTTACAGCCTCGGAAACCTTAAACAGGGTTGCTATGAGTTGGAAACGACTCTGTGGCACACACACAACCACCACTAGCACCACCTATTAAGGTTATTTTAAAAAAGTCTAGCCTCTTAATTTATTTATTGTAATTTCCTGAAAATTGCTAAATAGGGCAAAAACTCAACTCTAAGAATAAAACTGAAATTTGCTGATTTGAGTTTACGGATACTCCGGGTCCCAGGATGCTCTGCTTTCACGTCATGCAAAAGTAGCCCCGCTCTGCTGGCACTCAGCCTTGGAGTCTATGGGTACATCCTCACATCGCCCTTCTGCTTCACAGCTGGTGAAACTGCCTGGATCTCAAGACCCATGCATGCTCTTGCTCCAGGGTGAAGCCTGTCTTTGCTGTACTTGCCTTCGTCTGGGATCCGGCACAATAATTGAGGTGGATGATGAGGTCGGCCTTTCTCTCTGGTCGTAGGAGGGGCGGGTAGCTGGAGTTGACAAAGAACGCTGTGTCCAGCAGGCACAAGTGGTTGACGGACTCGGTCAGCTGGTTTGGGAAGCCATCGAGCACTGTGTCTGAAAGCCAAGTCTTCCAGTTACCAACATGGGACATGGTTTATTACATACCCCAGTCCCCTGCTCTCAGCGCATGCTCAGAGGCACCTGGTAGGGATGAGGTGCCCTAGCTGGAGCTCCTTCACTTCAGCCTGGGCCTTCAGCCTTCTCTCTCCTGGCCTAGACACCGCTAGGAGTCCCAGTGTCCCTCTGGGTGAGCTGACGAACAGCAACACTATCTTGGGATTTTAACAAGTCTTCTGTGGCTCATGTGACGAGCCACAGAGCTTTTAGGGTTTAAGACTAATCTATAAATTAGTGCAAACCCTGGACACAAACATCCGTCCTAGATTGGGAGGGTGAGGATTATCAGATCAGGCTCAAGTAGCTTTTGCAGGCTGTGGCTAAGGGAACATCACAGAAGGTGGAAAGTTGACCTCAGAGTCTTGTTGGATGAGAAGGAATGGAAACAGCAAGACCAAAGCTTAAAGCATAACTTTGGTACTTATTCCTTGGAGGGAGGTCTTCAGCTGGATCATCCTTGCCTCCAAGGGTCACCAAGCACATTAAGTTTATGGACAAAGTGCCCCTGACACACAGATGCAGAAAGTTTTGCCACCTGGGAAATGGAGCCATCCCTGACCTCCTGGCCTCAGAGCTATTAATTAAATACTCCTACCCTGATGCTAGACCCATGCCCTATTCAAGTACTACTAAACACAGAATACACTAGAGGAAGGAGTCTGGTCTGAGGAGTTCCAGTCCTTTCTCTGTGGCAGTTTCCACATCCACGTCTCCTTCCCTGGAGTTGCAGCCCAGGCCAGGATTACCTTTCCACTTGGAGAACTGGCTGTTCTGGAGGTAGCTGGTGTGTAGCTGCAGGCCCCGCAGGAAGTTGTGGAACTCAGACACAAAGCTCCGGTGGGTGAGGATGTTTCGGAAAGTATTGGACAGCCAGGACCCTGGGACTACCACCGTAGTCTCCAGGGCATTGGCATCACATTTGGGGATTTCTGGTAGGAGCGGCTCATCTTCTGCAGGAGAGAGAGGAGATGGGGGCAGGTCACAAGAGTTGGGGTCTTCAGATTGCCCAGATTAAGCACTGCTGGCTGCCATGGTGGAGGAAAGGGTAACATCTCAATTATGAGTTTAGTTTACACCTTTCCTGTTGAGCTCTAGACCTTGGCTTTGGAGTCAGGAGGATCCAAATGAGAGTCATAGAACAGGTGGAGATGGCGAGGGATGGGAGATAGTCAAAGATGGGTCCCAGGGATAATGGGGTAGCTAGAAGAGAGACTTCACACTGTGCTTACTAATCCCCACCCTCCTTGCCTCTTCTGGGTACTCTGTCAGTGGTGTTGTTTCTATTTCACATTGGTTTCATGCTTCCCGTTCAGACTGGGGTTGGCTCCACAGGCTTCCTGCTTAGCCCTGGCACATGTGTTTCTACACATAACCACTCCCTTCCAGGCAGGCGCAACTCTCTAGCCTTACTTGACTTCCCATCTTTGTGGGCTACATTGTCTATGTTGAAATGGCATAGACAGATCAGACTAGTCCTCAGTTCATGAAACACCCCCACTTCTCCATCACCCAGCCATGAGAAGCAGACAGCAGGTCACCCACCAATATCTTGTACTTTCTCCCTCGTCCACCTGTGGAAAAACTCCTCCGAGGTGTGGGACAGATTCCAGGCATCCAGCAGGTTCAGGGAGAAGATGCTGCTCCACAAACCTAGGGAGCCAAAGCCCGTGATGAGTAGCTTAGAGATAGGGGTTGTCTTAGAGCCCTAGGTCCCATCTGCACATTGACTAGTTTGGTCTTGATTCCCTGTGGTGCAGTGAATTACTTAATATTGTCCTCCCATTGTCTGCCATCTTGTCTTGTTGTGTTGGCTCTGACTCATAGCCACCCTGTATATGGTTTCTGAGGCTATATATCTTTATGGGAGCAGAAAGCCTCATCTTTCTCCCAGAGAGCTGCTGGTGGATTTGAACTGCTGACCTTGTGGTTAGCAGCCCAACTCATATTCCACTATGCCACCAGGGCTCCTTCATGGCCCAGCTAACCATAGTCTTTGTGGCTCCCACACAGTGATTGAGTGGGAGCATGCGAATAAGGTATTTGGAACCTGTGATGGTTAGGGTTATATGTCAACTTGGCTAGGCCATGATTCCCAGTATTGTGTAGTTGTCCTCCCTTTTTGTGATGTGATGCAATTATGGTATGTTTTGTAAATTCTGACCTGAGACCTGATTAGGTTATTCTAATGAAGATTAGATTATATTTGTAAATGAGGCAGGGTGGGAGTGGGATACACTCAAGTCACCACACTGCTTGAATCACTTCTAGGAAAGAAGAGCCAGGATCCCTATGCTGAGAGCCTCCTAGACCCAGGAGCCAGTGAGGATGGTAAGAAGCAGCCTCTGAGAAATGGAAACAGTGTAGGAAGCAGAACCAGGAGGCCAGCAGGAGATGGTGCATTGGACCTTCCAGGCCACAGAGGGGGAGAACTGAATGCCTTCACGCAGACTTCTTTTGGGAAGATGCAGCTAGGTTTGCCAACCCATGGCCAAGGTTTACTGGTGGAATGAATGCCTCTGGGTACTTATTGGTAGAGCTGACTGAGCTTTGTAACACTTGCCCAAGCAGGGCAGAGGCCAGGTTGAGGGGCCTAAATGCCAGAGAGGATCCTGCCTGTAGGCACAGCTCAGAAGAAGCTGTCCTGACTCAACCCGATTTGTTCTGGCCCGCAATTGTAAACTGTTATCTCCCTAATGAGCCCTGTAATCTTGAGTAATGCTTGAGTTCTTTGTGACCTTTGCGACATATTATTAAATTTAGCAGAGAGGCAGAGTGCTGGGAGGGAAAGTAACAAGTTTTGGAAGGTGGAGTCCCCTCTGGTTCTCCAAAACTTGGGGGTTCCTGCCAGGTCCTTCTAGGCCCAGAGGGCCGCTGGGAGATTGGGGAAGTCCTAGAGGTCTGTCTGTGGCCAGGCTGGGAAGCTTCTCCTGGGATGCTGGCAAAAGCTAGAGTGTCCCATGCCCAAAGTCTAACTCAAGGTTCCCGGGGGGGATTAAGTTCTGTAACTCAGAGGTTAGAGGTTGGGCCCTGCAGAGTCCACCTGCCAGTAGTCACCTAGCATGTAGCACATTCTTGACTCAGGGTTCCTCTTCATCAGCCGCCCCATGAAGAATTCAGAGCCAAAGAGCTCGGAGGGGATGAAGGCACCGTATTTCTGCAGGCCCACTTCATACGGGGAGAACTCACACCACTCTGTATATGAATCAGCAGGTTGGGGTGTCAGTTCTGGTCCAGGGCACTATGCCCCCAAGGACAGCCCCCGCCCTAGTCCCTGCTTTGGAGAGGCTGGGACTGGGAGGCTGCAGTTCCCAATAGGGCACCTGGGAGCAGCTGCAGCACAGCTTGGCAACCTGCATGGCTCATTTGCTCCTCAAAGCCCAGAAAATGGTAACAAAACTGACTCGAAGCAGGGCAGGTTTCTGAAGTCCTCCTTCTCTTTGGGCATCTTGAGAAATACCTAGGACCCCTTCCCTTCATGACCTTTATTTTCTCCAGGCCATGCATAGGGAGATCCATGCCCAGGGAAGCCCCTAGGTTCCACCCTGTCCAGGTGGCAAGGTAGCTGACTTCTTCAACTGTGAATGTGGAGGTTTATAAGGTGTGGAGGGACGAGATTTAGAGGCACTTTGTGTCTTTGCTTACTGAACAGGGACCCCCTCATTTTCCACTAGTCACCAGTGTTACCTCTGAAATCCTGGTTGCTTACATCATCCTTGACATTGATGGTGAGGTAGATGGGCAGGGGGTTCTGGCCCCGACACAGAGCAGCTCGCTGCTCTGACAGCTTGCATTCGTTTCTCTGTGGAGGAAAGGAAATGGTTAAGGAGAAGAAGCAAACAAGCAGTTTGGGAGAAGGGAAGGGGAGCTCAGGATAAGGGAACAATCTGTCCACCTCACTGGCCATCCCCCACAGTCCCTATCTTGACCTCGGAGCCCTCTCAGGTGCCATGTAAGCCCTTGCTGCACAAACTGTACAAAATGTACCCACAAAATGAACCATACCCACAGAATGAATCACTGGGCCATTCAATTCAGCACTCCAGACACAGCTAGGGTCCCCCAACAATAGGCTGTGTCTCTCAGAATCCCAGAGTTTCACTTGGGACCTCAGGGGCCAGAAAATGAAAGTCTGTGGTGGGAGAGGCCATCACTGCCCTTCTTCATCCCTGGTATCTTCTACCCACTCAAATCAGTCAGCTCCACTTCTATCTGCTTGGCAAGTTGGACTCCTTTATAAAATTTGCTGAAAGTTTCTTTCTTTTTTTTTTTTTTCCAACAGAAGGCTTGGAAACCAGAGCACTAGATGTCGGCTTCATGCTCCTCTGAGCGCTGTACTGTATAAGCAGAATGGGGGTGGCCACAGGACACCCCCAAAGTGAAACAGCCAGTGCCAACAGGACAGATTGTGGTCTCAGAGGCCCAGGTTCTGATGCCAGACCAAACAGATGCCTCCTGGGTGACTGCCCATGGCTACCCAAGGGTGCACAGCCACAGGACTTGTGCAGGATGGTAAATGTGTGGGAATTGAGCCCGTCTTAGACTTCCTTTGAAAGGTGAATGGAGTGCCTGTCATAACTAGGCTCAGAGGTCTGTGCAACATGAAGCTGACAGTTCCGAAAGTGGAGGAACCGGAGACGTGAGGCCCAGTTCACACTCACTGCCCAGGGGTCCTGAGGGAAAGTGGCTGCTGCCTTGGTCAGAGGAGAAGAGGAGAGTGAGGCCTCGTGGGGTCAGACTTGCACTTCCACCAAATTGATCTAAGGCTTTCCAGCCTTCCCCAGATTCTGCCTCATTTTCTCCCGCACGTGTTTCCTCTGATAGAATGTTTACATGTTTAAAACCATCTTGGTTTCTGTCTCTCAAAGGACATGCTTCCTCCATGCAAGTTGCCCCTAACCCACCCCCAACATGAGGATCCTAGTCATGTTCCCAAGTATTCCTGGGAAGAAAACCCTACCATCTTCCTCCATCATTCATTTGGGCACCTCGTGGTTCTCACAGCCCGAGGATGTATCTTCAGGTCTAACTGACTCCTGTTGCGGTTTAAGTTCAGATTTTCCTGATAAAGCTGAGCACCTACCTTGTCCCCTAGACAGGACTCAATCAGCAGGCCCCAGAAGTCAGTTAAGGTGACCTTGTAGCCTTCCTGGCTTCGCTGTCGGAGTTCCTCCTTGAATTTGCAAAGCTGTTCTGGGAACAGAGCTGGCATCTTGTCCTTGACCACATGCCTCCGGGCCTCCAGGATGGCAGGCTCCAAGTTTTTGGAGGACCAGTCAGGGTCTTGGTACAAGGTAGCCATGGTCCTGGAGAGAGAGAGGCACAGGTGATAGAGCTGACCCAGCCCTGGTCCAATCAATCCTGGCTGCGGCCAGGAAAGAGAGTGGGGCAGGTCAGCGGCACCTGTAGCCTTCCAGAGAGGAGCTGGGAAGAAAGGGGGTGAGGCAGAGGCCTGGTGGGTGAGGAGTGAACATTATGAATTATAACCACAATCGCTACAATTTCTTGAATGCCTCCATGTGCCAGGTTTAGCATATTGGTGAAAAGTGAGGATTCTGGACTCAGATCTTCCCAGGTTTGAAATCAGGCTCTGCCACTCACTAGATGTGTGATCTTGGTCAAGTTACTTAATGTCTTTTCACGTCAGTTTCCTTATCTGTGTAATGAAGAGAATTATGATAATAGTACTATCTTATAGTGTTATTGTGAAAATTAAAGACACTAATGTAATGTGAAGTGATTCCAAATCAGGATTCCATTACAAATTTTTTGGCACATTCTGGTTTGCCACACAAATTCCCATAAATGTGAATGCTGGGTATATTTTTAATTTCCCTTCTTCTTCTAATTTACATGTGGGTAAAGATGAAGGCCTCTCAGCACTGGGTGTTTGCTGTATGTGGCTTTTCTCCATTTATGTTAGGACAGGGGAGGAGCCCTTTTCATTCAGCCTCTGAGCCTAGAAATCCCCACGCACCCACAGCATCCCTAGCACTGTCTGTGGCTACCTATTTGTCTCTACAGTGGCTCTGCCTTTAGAGGACTTATTTCTGGTTGGTGAAGATTGATTGAGCAGTCAAGAGGTTTCTTCAAGAAAAAAAAAACAAAACCCTGCTTTTATAAGGCTCACTTTGTTACTTTATTTTAAAATATCTCCAAAAGCTATTAAAAATTGTTGTTTTGACAAGAATACTTCCCAAGGCTTTCCCCAAACTAGAGGTCCCTCCATCCTCCGACCGTCACCCTGGCCAGCCTCCCCATTTCTTGCTGGCCAGGAGGATGTGGGTGCCTCTTGACCAGAATGGAGGCATGTCACTTGCTAACCTACTATGCACCCACAGGCATCTGCTTCATGTGGAGGTTAGGAATGTTGGCCCTAGAGTTGAATGGCCCGGGTTCAAATCCCAGTGCTACCACTTATTAGCTGAGTATTTCTGGGCAAAGAACTTTGCTTTCCTGTGTCTTTGTTTCTTCAGGTATAACATGAACATAAACGTTGCACCTTTTCACAGAGATGCTGTGAGGAAGAATGGTCACCCTTCAGAAGCTATCACCACAGTGCTTGTTGCGGTATCAATGTTTGATAACTGCCAGTCATTCCTTCTATACCACCCTGACAGGTGGTCACACTATCAGGAACTCTTGGGTTACCTTGGGTGAGTGCCCACCCACTTACGCAAATGAGAGTTAACCAGGATGAGAGAGATACGATGAGGGGCACAGAGTGGGACTTCCAGGCTCATTAGCCACTGGCAGAAGAGTCCTCAGTCATGGCTGAGAGGCTTGTTTGGGGGCCCAGCCATCCTGGACCCAGGCTGCGTTATGACTTCCATGGACCCTTGGCACTTTGTCTCCATTAACAACAACAACAACAAAAAGTTTAATTACTGTGTTGGTATAAAGATAACTATATGAATCCTATATATTAAACCATTTTCATCAAATAAAAATCAATTAAACATTTTTTTCATTAGCTTAGAGATTCCTTTTTGTCTTCTGATTTTAAAACAACTGCAGACAATTTTGTGGGTCCCTGCCATATGTTGAGGGCTAGGCATTGTGGTCCTGTGGTCCAGTCGGCCTTACCCCAGAATCACTAGTGGGGGCAGCAGTGGGGAGTTAGGAGTTGGGTGTCTGGCTTGTCCTCTCCCCTGCTGGCTGGTCTAGGAAGCTTAGCAGTTTAGAGGGATTGGACAGGGGAAGGATGGTGGGTCTGGAGTGTGGGCAGCCAGAGCAGATGCTGGACGAGCTCCACACAGCTGGGGAACCTTGGCACAGCCCTGAGAGTAGGTGGCTGCAAGCTGGGGCCAATGGCACCAGAGGTCTACCATGTTCTTAGGTTCATGCCATCGGGAAATAGCATCCTGTCCAGGACTAGGTTAGCCTCTTGCAACAACCCCATGCAGAAACTGAGCCTCAGAGCAGTTAAGCTGCAGGCCCACAGTCACATGGTCATCCCAGCTGCCCAGGCTGATTTACTCTAGCTAGAATGTGGGGTTTGTGAGGGGGTTTCACTAGAGGTCCCAGGCTTGCCTGTTTAGTGCTTGCTCTGGGCTCCACCAGGAAGTGGCTCCCAGCTCCTTACCAGGTGGCCCCTGACAGACCGGTGATATAGCTGGCACAGTTCAGGATGTTCAGCTTCTGCAGCCCCAGCAGGTGGCCGTACATGGAGGTCATGGATCTTGTCCCTCCACCAGTGGCCATGATGGCTATCAGCGGTACCTGGGGACACACAGAGGCAGAGTGTTGGGGAGGCCTACAAAGCTGTGTGGGAGAAGATTTGGGTAGTTAGAAGGAATGGTGGCAACAGAACAGAGAGTAGGACTGCAAACAGCCTTCCCTCCAGCAGAGCACTGGCCCACCTGGTGGGTCTCGGATCAGATCTTCACGCCAAACTCAATGGCTGGTGTAAGCAACGGTACTCCCAAGCTTTCCACAAACCAAAATAAGCAAACCTGCTGCAATTAAGTAGACTCTGACTCACAGTGACGCCACATGCTACAGAGTAGTTTTTCTTGGTGATAAACTTTACAGAAGCAAATGGCCACACCTTTCTTCTACTGCACCCTCGAGTGAGTTCAGACTGCCAATCTTTAGTTTAATAGTCAGATACAAACTGTTTGCACCACCCACCAACCTAACAAAATCTTCCACAGCGTTTGGCAAAGCACAGAATGTAGTGACTGGAAGAATTCTTAGTGCATAAATCCAGCCACCTCGTTAACAGATGATGGAACAGGGGCAAGACAAGAGGGCAGCCGCTCAAGAGTCCAGCTAGTGTGTGAATCCCCAGTAGTGGCAAAGCAGCATACTGTGTAGACGGCTTTGATGTTAGGATATCAGACCCAGGGCTGGATACGGTGGTGCTCAGTAGGCAGCATTTTTGTAAGGGCAGGAGGACATGAATGGTGATAAGGAAGGAGCCAGGCTGTGCCCTCTAGGTTTAAGAGACCCACACCAATTTAAGATACCAACAGTGTGTCTCTTGAATGATGGGAGAATGGGAAAGAGACTTTTTGCAGAGAATTACTCCATTTTACTGGCATATGGATTGTAAGACCCTCTGTCAGATAAAGCCCAAAAGCAAGAACTCCTTTAATGCCTCAGAATGTGACACACTGAAGGCTGACTTACTTCCCGCGGGGTGGTGGTGGTGTGTGTCCTTAGTCCCTATGAGGGAGGTGACAGAAGACTATAAAAAAGGCATCTTTGTCTCCCCTGGAAGTGGATGTTCCTTATCCAGCTTTGTACTTTGGTTATTTCTGGGAGTGTGCTTATATGTGAATTTTGGGGGGAAGAGAGAATTAAGGACCTAAGGCATTGGGTTGGGATATGAGGTTTGAGAGGTGACGGAGCTTCCAACGTTGTCCTGGTTGAGGAGAGGAGGCTATTTTGTTTCAGATAAACAGGATATTGTTTATTAGTCACCTTAGGATCTGCCTCCTTCCTTCCCTCCTCCACACCCTTCTATCTCCCTTTCTCCTTCTCTTCCTTCTTGTTAATATTTCTATAATACCAAAATATTGGAAACAACTTTGGGTCTGGTTAAATACCTATAATTAATCACAACTGTAATGGGTACAAGATACCCTTGAATTATGCTATGATGCACAGTTATTGATGCAACAAATGAATTGTACTATTAAATGAAAACAGAAGATAAGAAATTGAATTTATAATGTGGTGGTGGTGGTGGGTGGGTGCCACCAAGTCGGTTCCGCCTCACAGCGACCCTGTATAGGGTTTCTGAGGCTGTACATCTTTATGGGAACAGAGCCTTATCTTTGTCCCTGGGAGCTACTGGAAGATTTGAACTACTGACTTTGTATTTAGCAGCCCGGCTGGCTCACAATCCACTATGCTACCAGGGATCCTTTATATTGTGATTGCATGCATATTCACACACATGCTATGAGGGGTTGTTGAGTCTATTCCTAGTCATAGTGACTCCATGTGACAGAGTAGAACTGACCCATAGGGTTTTCTATGTAAATCCTATATATTAAACCATTTTGATCAAATAAGAGCAGATCACCAGGTCTTTCTCTAACAGGGACACTGGGTGGGTTCAAACTGTCACCGTTTCAGGTGATAACTGAACACTTAACGGCTACACCGACAGGGTTCGCTCTCTCTATGTGTGTATGTATTTGTTGTTGTTGTTGTTAAGTGCCATTGAGTCGGTTCTGACTCAGAGTGACTCTCTGTATATACACGGAGTCCTGGTGTGTTTCTGTAGGATAGGCACTGGACTGATGACTGCAAGGTTGGTGTTTCAAATCCATCAGCTGCTCATTGGAAATCCTATACGGGGTTGCTGTGTGTTGGAACTGACTCAATGACACTTACCAACAACCAACAATAATATATTTACTTTGTAAATATATGTATTTGCACTTTTTTCTTTCAAAAATTCATGAAGAATATTTAACAAAATGCTAACAATGGTTATCTCATGGGCGTGAGATGAAAGTGATTCTTAGTCTTATTTTCATCTTTATGCTTTCTGTATTTTCTGAAATAAACAGAACAGCATGTGTGTGCACAGTGATAAAAGACTTAGTAGGGAAAGAAAGCACAAGTAAAACCCGAATCACTACTACCTGGAACCTCAGCTGTGAAGACAAACCTGAAAGGCAGTGCCTCGGCCACCTGTGGAAGGGAGGGCAGGGAGGTTGGCAGGCAGGTTTTGGAAGGACAAGTTCCTCATGGAGTGGACACTGACCCCAGGCTGGTAGAGCTCTGCGTACCCACCTCATCTTCCTGCAGGTCCTCCTCCAGCTGTAGGACCTGCTTCAACGTCTCAGCCACCACCACTCTCCGCTTCTCCAGGAACTCCAGCTCTGCTTGGCACAGACTGTACCCTAGCCGCACGTCCAGCACGTCTGGGCTGTGGGGAGAAGGGACCCTGGCTGACTGAACCTGTGGACACTATATCCATGGAGAAGACATGGCTTTCGGCTCAGTTGGATCTAGACTTGAAGCATGGTTCTGCCACATACTACCTCTGTGATCTTGGATCTTTGTTTTCTCATCTGTAAAATGGGGCTGTTGTTGTTAAGTGCTGTGGAGTTGGTTCCAACTCCTCATGGCCTTGTATAGGGTTTCCAAGCAGCAGCTGGTGGATTTGACCCATTAACCTTGTGGTTAGCAGTCCAGTGCTTATCCTACAGTGCCACACCAGGGGCTAATCATGCTTAACTCCCAGCACTGACTTCAGATGGAAGAAGCAACAAACGTGACGTCCACAAAGCTTAGTCAGCACACTGTAAGCAGGTACTCAACACAAAGTACTGTTGGTACTTGTATTAGAGGCTCATTGAAGCCACTGCCTCCTCAACAAGATCTAAGCATCTTCTACTATCAGGGATAACAAGGAACCCTGGGATGTTCCTCTGGAGGAGGCTGTTCCTGTGGAGCTCACATTCGTTTGGTAAACTCTTCCATCTTGGCTTCTAAGGAGCATCCGGGATGTACTTCTTCCAACATAGGTTGCTTTGTTTTTCTAGTTGCCCATGGTGCTTTTAATATTCTTCTCCAGTACCTTAACTCAAATGCATCAATTCTTCTAAGGTTTTCCTTATTCATTGTACAACTTTCACATGCATATAAGGCTTTTGGAAATACCATGACTTGGGTCAGGCCCTCCTTAGTCCTCAAACTGATAACTTTGGTCTTGAGCACTTTAAAGAGGTCTTGTGCAGCAGAGTTGCCTAATGCAATATGTCGTTTGATTTCTTGTCTGCTGCTTCCATGAGTGTTGATAATGGATACAAGCAAAATGAAGTTTGACGACTTCAATCTTTTCTCCATTTATCGTGATGTTATTTATTTGTCCAGTGGTGAGGATTTTTGCCTTCTTAACACTGAGATGCAACCCATACTGAAGACTGTGGTCTTTGATCTTCACCAGTATGTATTTTAAGTCCTCTTTACTTTCAGTAAGCAAAGTTGTGTCATTTGCATATCACAGGTTGTTAATGAGTCTTACTCCAATCCTGATGCCACATTCTTCTTCATAAAATTCAGTTTCTCAGATTAGGTGTTCAGAATACAGATTGAATAAGTATGATGAAAGAGTAAAACACTGGTGCATACATTTCCTGATTTTAAAATATCCAGTGTCCCCTTGTTTTGTTCAAATGACTGCCTCTTGGTATATGTACAGTTCCTCATAAGCACAATAAAGTGTGCTGGAATACCCATTCTTTGCCATGTAATCCATAGTTTGTCATAATCCACATAGTTGAAAGCCTTTGCATAGTTAATAAAGCACAGGTAAACATCTTTCTAGTATTGTCTGCTTTGGGTTACATGCAATGGAATACTATTCATTCATAAAAAAGAATGAGGTACATATGCTCCACTATGGAGTCCTGGTGTAGCACTGCACTATCCGCAAAGTCAGTGGTTCAAGCCCATCAGCCATTCCTTGGAAACACTTTTCAGGAAACCCTTTGCAGGGTTGCTAAGTCAGATCTGACTTGATGGCACTTAACAGCAACAACAAGGATGAACTTTAAAAACATTATGTTGTATGAAAACAAACAAAACAAACCCAAATAACCCATACTGGTTGCTATTAAATTGACTCTAATCCCTGGAGACCCCGTGGATTACAGAGTAGAACTGCTTGCTCTATAGGGTTTTCTTGGCTGTTTCATGAAAGCTGATTGCCAGGCCCTGCTTCTTCAGTGCCATTGGGTGGACTTGAACTGCCAATCGCTAGGTTAGTAGGTAAACACAAACTGTTTGCACCACCAGGGATCTTACCCAGTCACAAAAGACCATCTAACATACAATTCCCTTTATATAAAATGTCCAGAATAGGCAAATCACTACAGAAATAGATTTTGGTTGCCTGGGACTGAGGGAGTAAAGGGGAAATGGAGAATAACTGTAATGGCTTTGGGATTTCATTTTGGGGTGATGAAAATGTTTTCACATCAGGTAGTGGTGATGGTTGCACAATTTTAATGGTATGTGGATTATATCTTAATAAAATATTAAATCTGGCCAGTCACTGATTTCAAAGGTCATGCCAGGCATATATTAAAGGCTATGAAGACGCATAAGCAGAAGGCTCAATTTTAGGTCAGTTCTGTTTGTCTTTATGTTTAGGGACACATCGAAAATATATATGTTGTTTTAATGCCACTTCTTAACCAGAAACCTTTGCTCTTGCCCCTTCTCTGAAAGTAGATGTAGCACCAGCAGGAGTCACTACTTGTGGTCAAGGGGAGGACAGGAGAAGGCAGGGGGAAGAAGGGATGAGGTGGGGAGGACAGGAGAAGGCAGGGGGAAGAAGGGATGAGGTGGGGAGGACGGGAGAAGGCAGGGGGAAGAAGGGATGAGGTGGGGAGGACGGGAG